CCAGTGGTTATTGGATTTTTGAAAAGCAAACGAAATAGGTAGAAGATTCAGAGATTCATCCATGATCTGTGAGTTTCATGCCAAGAAAAATACCACCTCAGTAAGTCAGAAAGTTATGTAACCAATCATATATATAGTGATACTGAAATAGAGTCGATAACAAATTTAAATCAGATCTGTTATTTATTTTGTAAGTAACGCAGCAGAATCATCTTCGCAACTGTAGTGTTTGTCACCGTTGGAAACACGGATAATTCAGTCTTCTGTTCATAAATTCTATTTTTCTATTTTTCAAATATTATCTTATTTTCATCATGAGCTGACATTAGTTAGAGAACCATTGGAAAACCTAGGAGTACTGGACAGTTGTTTCGTCCTAGTTTGGGACTCTTCACAGTACGCACCCACCGTGATTCGAGCCCAGGACCTTCTGGTTACAAGGCGAGCTAGCTCGTAGACCATTAAGCCACTGGGACCCGATCCAATGGACAGCCCATGAATTCTAACTTCTGCCAATTCACGACATAGCGCGACGCCTAGCCAATGTCTTCGGCGAGTATTTGTCCTCACGCCCGACCTGCTGCACCCTACTGGTCACGACTTCTCACTAGAACCCCAGGAAACTACCTACCTGAATAGGGCAAGTCACTAGTGAGCATCTCATTGATATTTAAGTGTTGGTTTGTAGGGATTTGATTGGTTTACAGGATTTTCATCATGAGCTGACCTCACTAAGCCAGTAATAAGACTGGTAAAGAGGGGAGGTTGGGCATGAGGTTAGCAACCCCATCCCGTAAAAATAAACACCACTGCTACCGAAACTTCAGGCCTCTAGCTTGAAGCCCTATGTTTCACTGGGAACTTAAAGGAATAAAAAAAGTTAGGTTAGTGATGTAACTGTAAGTCAGAAAAGCAAGTGGGAATATTTTATGAAAATTGACAGAACCTTTATACACCATAATGTAGAATCTACAGTTAAAAAAAACGAAAATTTATTCAATAAAACCCATTCTTTGAAAATAATTCATACCGTTGGGAATGTGACAGCAATCTGATGGAAATGAGCTTGAAGACGTCGAGATATTACCATTCTTCCACCGCCTGGTGTACCCATTGCCACCATCAACTGCATACCTTTTATTTTCTTCCTAGTTTGCTTCAAGCGATCATACCAAAATCCATATTCTAACCATTGACGGATCAGTTCCAATGGCGGTTGAGAACCAGAACTGTCTTTTGCTGGCATATTAAACTCATCCATGAAAGTGAGCATCTTTCCACCACCAACTGGTACAAATGTGTCTTTTGTACGTTTCTCTACACGACCTTCAATTATGTCTTGTACATTATTTGATGTTGTCTACATTTTGTGAAGAAGATAAATAAGCAAAAGATAAGAATAACCATGTCACCCCCTATTTTGCTTCGATATTTTTCACACTTGAATCTAAACAGCTTTAACATTTTCTAAAGGAATATTTTTTTATAAACCAACAAATAGAATTATTCATATTTCATTTCACAAAAAGTAAGTTTTATACCTTCAAAGCAAACTATATGTTGTTTACGTTAGGTTTCATAGTAAAATAATAATAGCTTGATTTTGAACAAAACATTTAAACAACAGATGAAATTCTATGCGTAATTTATTATTATTATTGTTTCCTTTAACTCCTAGAGGAACATAGGGCTTCAGCCGCACGTCTCCATTGCGTTCGGTTCTCTGCTAAAGTTTTCACCTGGCTCCAAGTCTGCCCACACGTTTTCATCTCCTCTTCACATGACCTCCTCCAAGTCACCCTCACCCTCACACTGACGACCAACTCGCCGCTTCCCTTTCGGGTTCCACTCGAGCAATGGCTTGTCTAGTGATGTCACTTGATGGTTTGTTTCCTCAGAGTATGGCCAGCCAATCCATCTCCATTTCTTCCTGCATATTTGTTTCACAATTGGTTCCTGGTTGGTTCGCTCATTGCCAGAGATCTCTGTTGCTGATCTTTTCTGGCCGGCCATCTGATCTTGATTGGTATTGAGCGAAGACAACTGTTAATGAAGGTGTGTAGTTTGTTTGAGATGCTCTTTATGACGCGCTGGCCAAGTCTCTGATCCGTATAGTAGCACTGACTGACTTCACATTGGAGTTGAAAATCCGGATCTTATTCATTTTGATGCTGAGTGCTGTTGACCTCCACACAGACTTGAGAGTAGTGAAAGCTTGTCTTGCTTTTCCGATTCTTGCTTTGATATCCTCGTCAGTTCCGTAATTGCGTAATTTATGGCAATACATTTTCTTTTCACCCAGGATCTTCAAATAAAATAACAATCGATGATATAGGATGTGCGCAATTATTCTCTTCTATCTGAAACACAGACTAATCCCTTCGAATATTTTTCCTTCATCTCGGAGAAACGCTCGCCGGTAGTTTGAAAGTCAATTAAAATCTGTTTGAGTATATTTTACGACTCAAGGACACAACAGAATGCCGGTTAAAACAATAAGAAACAGAGAAAATGTTATGTATTCTGTTTAGTGGACAAAAACATCAGGTAGTTCAGTGAGTGATTCGAGTAGACCATTAAAGCGTTAAAAAATAGTTGGAAGTGAATCTCTGGCTGGCGTTGTACACACAGTTCTCATTGGGGATTTTGAGATAAAAACCTAAATAAGATTATGGATTTACTACTCACTGCTATAGATGACAGTCAGTAGTGAGTTTCACAGAAATTAGTCTTTCAGTGTTCACCTTTTAATTAATATATGTAAAATAGATAAACAAATTACTAGAGTCGTAAAAAAATGAATTGTGATGATTTAAAATTATGCAATTATTAATAGCAGTTAATATTAATTAATTAGTGATTTGTTATCAACGTAATAAATTTGAAAGTGGTCGGTTCATTCAATTATATGGACGGCATCGTTTCAACTACTACAGACAACAAGAATGAAGATGTCAAAACCAGAATCGGAAAGGCAAGACAGACCTGCATCACTCTTAAATCAGTGTGGAAATCTTCTGCACTCCTCAGCATGATGAACAAGATTCGGATTTTCAACAGCAATGTTAAGTCAGTCAGTTCTTCTATACGGGACTAGAAACTTGCTCTGCGCGTCACGGAAAGCATTTCCAACAGGCCACTGAAGACTTTTATTATCAGTTGCATTCGCTCGATTCATACTGAAGGTCACATGGCCAGCCAGAAAGGATTAGCAATAATAAACTCTGGGAACGAAACAATCAAGAACCTATTGCTCGAAAAATACGTAGAAGAAAATGGAGATTGATTGGATACACTCTGAGGAGACCATCGAGTGACATCTCACGCCAGTCTATTGCACAAATGGAACCCAAATGGGTGGGGGTGGCAAGCTGTGCATGGCTCGGAGGATGACATGGAGGAGATCGTGTGAGGAGGAGGAGGAGGAGGTGAGGGCTTATGGTCAATCGTGGGGCCAGTCAGAGAGTACTTCAGAGAACAGGACAAAATGCAGACATTCTGTTAAAGCCGGAATGTAAGGGAAAAATAATAATTTGTGAGTTGTACGCTAGATGAACGTAGAAACAAGGAAGAGTTGATATTGAATAGAAAATGAATAGATCAAAATAAAAAAGTAGAGGAAGAGATGTTTCGCAATTTTAAAAATCAAAATTATGAAAGGAGAGGATGTTGTTTGTTCCCATCAGCCTAGCTTCCCTATAGAGATGTCTAGAATTTCAGCAGTAAACATTAACATTGGCAGGTTACCTTCCACAATGTACATAACATTTAGCAATAAAGTTTCTGAGATTAGATAGGTGATCACTGTCATCGAGGTAGGTGTGCATTTATCGTACCTACTTCTGCCGCCTACCTGTTTGTTACAACACTTGATGATGTACTCAGACACTTTCGGATATTATTTGAGTTAAAGGACTAGTAGCTAGCTTACCGATAACAACTTAAGTGGAATACAACATAAGAGTGGTTAAAAGAATGATCTTATATTTCAAGTTGTTGCAAACTAATAAAAAGCGAAGAGTGAACGAACACTACTCTCAGAGTTGACGCAAAGAATGTTATTGTCACGTAGTGAGTGCAAGTTCTCTCTCTTCATGATGTTAAGACTAAAATGCAGCATCTTTTTTGGTATGAAAGTTAGATCACTTCTAAGTTTCTGATTGGTCGATCTACTTATCTGTCAATAGAGGTGGATATCTCCTTCCAGTGAGAGTTTTCCGTTAATGACTTGTCTCTTCTTCTTCTTCTTGTACAATATAACTCTGGTAGATAGATAAATTAGAGGCGAGGGCAAACGATACAACTTAATTTCGCTTTTTGACAATGATCGCCCAGTTGTTACAGAAGACTGTGTCAGTTAACTATTTCTTCCTTGATTGGTCTGGATTAAGCAAGCGGATTTTAATCCCACTTTCTCTTTGAAGAGTAACATTTATAATTATTATTTCCTTTAATTCCTAGAGGAACATAGGGCTTCAGCCGTGCGTCTCCATTGCATTCGGTTCCCTGCTAAAGTTTTCACCTGGCTCCAAGTCTGCCCACACGTTTTCATCTCCTCTTCACATGACCTCCTCCAAGTCACCCTCACCCTCACACTGACGACCAACTCGCCGCTTCCCTTTCGGGTTCCACTCGAGCAATGGCTTGTCTAGTGATGTCACTTGATGGTTTGTTTCCTCAGAGTATGGCCAGCCAATCCATCTCCATTTCTTCCTGCATATTTGTTTCATAATTGGTTCCTGGTTGGTTCGCTCATTGCCAGAGATCTCTGTTGCTGATCTTTTCTGGCCGGCCATCTGATCTTGATGGTATTGAGCGAAGACAACTGTTAATGAAGGTGTGTAGTTTGTTTGAGATGCTCTTTATGACGCGCTGGCCAAGTCTCTGATCCGTATGGTAGCACTGACTGACTTCACATTGGAGTTGAAAATCCGGATCTTATCTTCGTTTTGATGCTGAGTGCTGTTGACCTCCACACAGACTTGAGAGTAGTGAAAGCTTGTCTTGCTTTTCCGATTCTTTCTTTGATATCCTCGTCAGTTCCGCCTGTGGTTGAAACGATGCTTCCGATGTGGGTAGGTAAAAGAGGTTGTTTCTTTCAGGTTCCTCCCATTTATGCTGATTGTTGTCTGTCGTTGTTGTTACTGTTGCCCAAGAATCTTCATCACCTCTGTTTTTTCTATGTTCACCTGAAGTCCTATCTTCTGATGCTTCTTCTGCCAACTTGTTACTTTTCGCTTGCATGTCTTCCAGTTTGTGGGAAATCAGATATATATCATCGGCGAAGTCCAGATCCTCCAAGTCTTTTGTGTGAGTCCATTTTATGCTTGTTTCCTCGCTGCCCGCTGTTTGTCGCATTATCCAATCTACTGCAATCAGGAAAATCATTGGCGATAGTAGGCAGCCTTGTCTTACTCCCATCTTCACTTCGAAGGATTCCGTAAGTTTCCCGTTGTGGATTACTTGGCATGCAGCATTGTCAGAATAACATTTATCAGAGGTCAATAGATATTAAATACGTGCAGTACTAGATTAAAATGGAATTCTCTGTAACGGCTTTGTCTATATATTACGAATGTCATTATGCGACTGACAATCAGAAAGCAAAATGAAAAACCAGATTGTCGTTTAAAAATGTCTAAGTAACATTGAATGCATTAAACATTTTGAAGGGGAGTTTCTCTGTATGAAACGTAACTCCATTGGATCAGTTAGTGTCAGTATAGTGTGCAAAGCTGACGTGATTTTGTTTTACAAACGATTTCGTTATACTAGTTATTTTATTTTCTGCTCATCAAAACAGCGAATTGTTTCTTACACAAACTTGAGTAATTTAGGAGTTTATAATATCATAATGAGGTAATGTCCACTCAATGAATGAAAATAACAAAAATCATGGTAGGTGTTACTGACAAAATTTTGTAAGTAGTATATTGTGTGTGATATCTTCCACAGTAATACTGATTTGCGGAGGGATGGACGTAATAATGAAGCGAAGAAATGAACGATTCTTGTGGAACAACATGTAAAAACGTGAAAAGAAGAAGATAAAAGAAGCACAATAAGGAGGAAATGTGCAAATTGTGATTTTAATATAAGGTCGATGTATTTTACCTATATCTGTACAGAGAATCGGCAATAAAGAATTCCGTTACGAAATAATATTGCGTTGTTCCGTTATACATCCACCTGAGAATTAGGAATGCTAAAAGGTGTCAACAACAACAAAAGTACAGATGAATAAAGCCAGTGGCCATCAGTTAACTTTTAGTCACTGATTTCATATATCGTTGTTGTTGTCGTTGGCATAGAACTGGACTGATGGACACTAGTTTCATTCGACTGTATTGTTGTCGTTAGCGTGGTGTACACATGTAAGCAAAATACGTCTATCATATATTAAAATCACAATTTGCACATGCCCTCTGTATTGTTCTTATTTTTCCTTCCTTTCATGTTTTCCATGTAGTTCCACAAGAATCATCTTTTCCTTCTCTTTATCATTACATCCATCTCAGAGCTATTCAATAATCTTGAAAATGAGATGCGTATTTATGTCTGTATCTATATACTACTTAGAAACCTTGTTAGTAGTACATACCATATGTGTATTTTGCCATATCTGTACATCAGTTCTTCAATAAAGAGTCCCTCTTCCGGGATACTAACGTGTTCCACTGTTATAGAGTGACTATATGTACATGGGAGATAGAGAGTTTACTCTAGTGATACGCATAATATTTCATTCTATATAGAAATATGATGCGGAATAATAAATCAATAATGTAATATCGTGAAAATAGACTAGAATTTAATATGCCTAAAAACATGATATAACTGCAAGAATTTCAACTCACTTGAGCAGACATGTATATCGTAAGATTAGTCCATTCTGTTGGATCTAAATTTCTTAATAAATTTAATGCTAGTGATGTCTTCCCAGTTCCAACTGATCCAACTAATAAAGCGGGATATTTTTGCTGTACTGTACATTCCAAAATAAAGTTATATCGAACTGTATCTGCAGTGGGTACAAGTATTTTGTGGAACGGCATACTGAAATAAATGGATATTTGAAAGGAAAACAGCATTACACATACGTATAATTATCTGAAGGGTAAGTCATTTTTACAAACGTTAGTGAAACTAAAGGCTACATCCACAGCTTAGAGACAGGATTTTTATATTCTTAGCATTTACTAACTCATCGTAAGAAAACGAAAATTCTTCAATTATATGGGATGTATGTGATCATTCTCATTGCAAGTGCAGAGTGTTCACTTGTTAAACGAAGACTGTTACTGATTTCTCCTTTCATCCAGATGAATTATTCGTAAGGGTGGCCACTTTCTACCATCTCACTAATATGGTTATGAGCCATTGCAAGGGCTGATATAATCAGTTTTTCTATTGATTTATATTCACTCTCGATTATCGCCTGATCTTGAAATAACTAAGGCTTTATGATTCGATATTCCAGCTGACCAGATTCGAATTGTGGTGAGAGCTGTCTATTATTATTATTCCCTTGGGTTCCTAGTGGAACATATGGCTTCAACTACGCGTCTGCACTTGCTTCTGTCTTCTGCTGTACTTTTCACCTGCGTCCATGTTATGTGAGAGCTGTCTGCTAGCCAAAATTGTAAACAACAATTTACGTCAATGTTTACGTCCCAAATTGGGGTCATGAGAAAAAACAATGACATAGCATAACCTTGAGGAACTCACCAACTAATAGGACTCGCAGATAAATGGCCTGCCTTTCTAAGAAATGGCCACAAAAAGATGAAAGAATAACCTTCAACAAGAAAGCAGCCAATCAGGAGACTTGCTTCTCTGCTAACAATAATGGTAATAAAAATGTGCATGAAAATCTATAAATATCTGTTGATTTTCTCAAAAAGCGATCTGTTGCCTGGCCTTTGTCTTCTCTCGTTACAGAATGATATTATCTTCTAATCATTACAATGAACTAGTTAGATTAAATCATTTTGTTTAACCTGTTCAGTATATGATTAAAGCCATAAAGTTTAAACTTGATTATGAATATAGTTTTGTGAGCAGTTTATCTAGTGTTTCTGAAATTCCTTGATTATATATAGAAGCATCATAAAGATATCTTCTTTTATTATGAGCGTTATCTATGTATTTGTCATAGTGATTTTATTCCCTTTCTTATACACAGAGACCATTCTAAACTTTCTAGTTGGAAAGTATCAATATTTAATAGCTACACCAAAGCTTAGTAATTATAATCATTTCTCAGATATAACCATAAACTCTGGAAGATAATATGTTTATCGGTAAGATTTTACTGAGGGCTATCACCCAGTAATAATAAAATTCTTCATATTGAATATATACTAAATAGTTGAATAAAACATACTCTGGTGAATATTTCCAACCAGCTTTTAATTTCTCCTCCCAGTGTACCCATGATCTTGTTTTAGGATCTACATAATATTCATAGACTGAATCTTTGTTAGGAAAACTGCCTTCAATTTCACGAATGTACGCATCAACTTTTTTTCTACCATCTTCATCGACCATACATGCAACAGACCATATCATGCAGAACTGGAAGGTCATTTCTAATAAACGTGGATAATAATCAACATCAGCTGGATCAGCCTGTAATAAGAAGTTGATAATAAAGAATTAAATGACATATATAATGTAGAATATCAGTTAGGTAGAGAGAAGTAACTTATCTACAACTATAAAACAAATGAACATTCTGAGAATTCCATTGAAACAATTTTTTTGATTTAGCTGCAACGTGAGATAGAGTGGGATCAAAATTATGATGTATTACAGGTGGCTTATCCAGGCCATAACATAACATTACGAGGATAAAAGCTGTTGTGTAAGTCTTCTGGGAGAATTCGCCATATTTCAGAATGTTATTATTATTATCATCATTATTGCACCCTTGGGTCCCAAGTGGAATATACGGCTTCAACGGCACATTTCCATTTCATTCTGTATCCTGCAGTCGGGTTCAACTGTCTCCATGATTTCCCATAAGCTCTGATCTCCTCAATGTTACTCTTAGACCCACACCCGATTTGCCTTTACCAATTGCGTTCCCCTTGAGGGCATGGCTCGCGATGTCACTCAAGAGTTTCCACAGCGGGTGTCCGATCCACCTGCGTTTTCTTCAGCGTATTTCTTGAGCTATAGGTTGTTGGTCAGTTCACTCCCAGAGTTCCTTGCTGGTAATTCTTTCTGGCTGGCTATCTAATTTTCAGTATGCAGCTAGCAAAGATGGATGTTGATGAAATTATGCAGCCTGTTGAAAGTTCTTTCAGTGACGCACGCACCAAGTCCCTGAACTGTATAGTAGAACTGAATTGGAATCGAGGTTGTAAATTTAAATCTTGTACTTTATGCTGATTGCAGCAGACTTCCACACTGATTTTAGAGTAATGAAAGTCTGTTTTACCTCTCCTATCCTGCCTTTGATATAGTCATCCGTGTCGCCCGTAGTTGAAACAATGCTGCCCAGATAAGTGAAAATGGTGACCTCCAAATTTCCTCCCACTGACAGTGATTCGGACTTTTTTGTTCTTGGTTAGGTATTTTCGTCAGCTCTGCCTTCTTTATGTTCACTTGAAGTTATTTTTTCGTTACTTCTTCAGACAACTTGTTGGTTTCCACCTGTAGACCTTCAAGGCTGTGTGAAACTACACACAAACCATCCGTGACTCAAAGTATTACTGTTTTCTCGCTCCCCATGGTTTGTTGTAAGATCCAGTCCACTAAAATGGGGAATATCGTCAGCGATAAAAGGTAGCCTTGCCTTACTCCTATCTTCTCTTCAATGGCATTTTTGAATTTTGTTATTATAAATCATAAGTAAAATGACTTCACATCAAATACTGCGAAGCGCTTTTCGTTCACTTTTTGATGTATACCCAATTTTAAATTTTTGCATCAATTGTCTTTTTACATTTGTCACTTTTGCCTCTATATGATTGCAGAATGTGTAAAGAATAGCTGTTTTGGTTTTTAAATGTTTTACATCATTGTAATAGTTTTTCTTTTTATCTTCAACATAAAATATCTGCAGAACTCCATGCATTTCGCATAGTGTAAAAGTACACTTCAGAGCACAGGTAGTCACCATTACTAATCATCGATTAGTATTGATTGTCCAGACTGATCCTACTTTCCTCTTCTCTACAATCAGATCTGTACACCTAGTTATAATTCTAGAGTCTTCAGGTAGGTTAGAAAAAGTTATTGAGACATTTACTTGAAAATGTACAACTTGTATTTCTAAATCAGATTTTATGAAATAATATTGTATCTACCGGACGACAAAGTATATATATATATATATATATATATATATATATGGGGAACGAAACAAAAGACTACCCATAAGAGGTCTCTTAGTGATGCAGGCTTCGGGTTTGTTAATCCATTTTTCTTGAATGGGACAGCTTTTAAGGTTAATCAACAATAACATAGTGTGAAGGATGAACATGTTTACGATATGTACTCACAATTTATCTCATTAGTCTGCCAATCTAGTATTTGTCCTTAGTCTATCTCTAGTTTATCAGTCTGACGTGTGTTCTCAACCCATCTTATTAGTCTGTTAGATCAAAAACAAATCACATGTCTCTTGATGAGCGTCAACCAATCAGAACCCCGTATGCAGTTAACGCCTACTAGTTGAGCCTTGCGACTGGATATATGCTATGCAGTTTTGTACTTTTGGTCACTTTTGCCTTCACTTGTTTTGGAAATACATGTTTCCAACTCACTGTGCAGGTCTTTCGGAGTTTACTAGTTCGGGTCGGGGAATAGCCGACTGGGAAATTACCAGGCGTTTATATCGACAATTAGCATTCGTACTGACACCCAGCGACATTGTAACAGTTTATGAAGACCATAAAGAACATAACAATTAAAAATTCAGTTGCAAATTAAAAATATTACATGAAGTTCACTAATATTTTTTTTAAAAGTTTTGGCCGAAGCTGAGGTCTTTCAAAATTTGACGTTCAGGAACCAATCAGATATAGGGAGTGCTATGAAAGGTCAATCCAAGTAAAATCATGCCTACCTTTCTGGACTTGGAGAAGGCAGATATAGTATTCCACTTATTCTTTTTCTGTAAATCTATACTGTTAGATAGTCTTATGGCTTTTCAGATTAGGGTCTAGGGTTAAGGTTAGGATTAGGGGTTACAGTTAGGAGTAGGTCAAAGAACAGTGTCATAAATATCAATAGATCTTAAAGTGACATGACCTACAGTCACCTGGATGAATGCATCTATCGTGCATGGTATGATTCATCTATAGATCATCTGTGTATTGATTGGGAGAAATTCTTACAACACATAAGCGACAACGACGTAGTATAACATCATGTTTGCAGTGTTTTTAGGGCATTTTTCAACAATTATGCGACTTTATTGCATCCGAATTCTGATTGGTTGTTTAAAGTCACTGTGGTGGTTTTGGTATGATATCTTAAATTTGCCCAATTGTGCCTAAAGATGAAGAGAACAGATTGCCAGAATATTGTCAGTCAGATGACCGTATCGTATGATCTACTCCAATTACTTCGACATTCATAAATATTTGGGTATTTTAGTATCACAATCTCAGGATCAGATGAAAATACAAAGTGTAGCTACATATAACTAGTTGGTTTTTGGTTAATCAAGCAAATTAATGCAATTGAAACTATGAATTAAACATTATGCATAATTTCCAAGAGTTAGTTTGTAGGGATTTGATTAGTTACTGATTTGATTGCGAGTTGACATCAGTTAGAAACCCATTGAAATCATAGGTTTTCAAGTATTCGTTTGTAGGGATTTGATTGATTGGTTTCAGGATTTCATCATGAGCTGACATTGGTTAGAGAACCATTGGAAAACCTGGGAGTACTGTACAGCTGTTTCATCAGCCTAGTTTGGGACTCTTCAGTAGTACGTACCTACCGTCAGGGTTCGAACCCAGGGCCTTCCGGTTACAAGGCGAGCTCTTAGACCATTAAGCCACTGGGACCCTATCCAATGGCCCATGAATTCTAACTTCTGCCAATTCACGATAAAGCGCAACCGCTAGCCAATGTCAGCTCATAATAAAATCCTGTATCCAATCAACCAAATCCCTACAAACCAATACTTGAATATCAATGAGATGCTCACTGGCGACTGGCCCTATTCAGGTAGGTAATTACCTGGGGTTCCAGTGGGAAGTCGTGACTAGAAGGGTGCAGCAGATCGGGTGTGAGGACATATACTCGCCGAAGACATTGGCTAGCGGTTGCGCTATATCGTGAATTGGCAGAAGTTAGAATTCATGGGCCGGCGGGTGCGTACTGATGAAGAGTCCCAAACTAGAACGAAACAGCTGTCCAGTACTCCCTGCAGGTTTTCCATTGTTTCTCTAACCAATGTCAGCTCATGATGAAATCCTGAAACCAGGGGTTGCTGGATAACTGTTTTGCCCTAGTCTGCGATCCATTGTCAGTCTGTACCTATAGGGGTCAGACCCAGAACATCCTGGTTACACGTCAAGCTCGTAGACCATTCAGCCACTGGGACCCGACATAGTGGCCCGCAAATTCTTACGTCTACCAATTCGTGATTTTAGTGCGACCACCAGCCAACATTATCTGTGAGTATTTGTCTTCACATGCCCAATCCCGTGGACTGCATTGATGAAGACTTCTCATAAGAACTCTGGACAACTTCGTCCTGTAGCTAGTCACTAGCGAGCATTAGATTAATATTCTAGAGTCAGCTTGTAGGGATTTGCTTCGTTTCAAGTTTGATCACCAATTTGTACACGTATCATTCAGGAAAGGAATGTTATGGATATAAAGTCCTCATAAGCCTACTAGTCCTCTTCTTGATATCATATTTTTCTTCATTTCTGATACTTGTATATGATGTAACACGCAGTGAATCGGCATTCACCATTGGATGATAATTCCAGCACAATTTGTCCCACATAATCTTATCAAGGTTATGATTATGAGTGTAACGAATTGTAAAATTCCTCTTTTATGACCTAATCAAAATATTCATACTTATTTGAACGATTCAACTAACTCTGTAATTGTTATCAATTTTTATCCTAGATTCTATATCATTGTTTGGACATTTGCATATCACATGTTGATTCGATCATTGACCAAGTTAAACTTTGAGCACCACTAACTACCAATGGAGTGCGACTACACATTGGCCTTGAATAGTCCAATGAGTTTCATCTGTGTGAGTTGAAGCTTCTCTTCCACTTGATTCGAGTCAAGTGCCTACTCTTACCCAGTTGCGTTTGCAATTTGTTGAGGATCAAGTCTTCCAGTATTGCTTAGATGTGGGGTTGATAAGAAAGAAAGGATTTATTTATGTGGAAGTGTGGTGACTATAAAAAGCTTCAGCAGGTCTGTTGATGGATATGTCCATCGTTGTGCAATTTGTTTGAGACAAGTTAGTGTCAGGGAAGGTAAACTGATGACTCTAATATTTTGTAAGAACATTTTTTGCCAGATCTCATCTTTCCTTAACCCAGATTTTGTTTATTTGTAATTACTGGGTTTTAAAACAGTATGTGAGAGGTGCAGCTGCTGAAACTGAAAATAGTCTCGTATCAACAGTTCAGTGGTAGCAGCACTACAGGGACATCGCGTAATGGAAAGTGGGGAGACTTACGTCGTTATTGGGAGGAGAAGGTGTCATTGTACATGTGGATAAAACTGTCTTATTAAATAGAAAATACAAGAGTGGTCGTGAATGAGCAAATAATGTTTCGGTGACTGACTTATATGACACCTCTCCACAGAAAGGATCCGTCGAGAGGATAGCAGACAGAAAGTCAATACCTATTATCACTCGAGTGGTGGAACAAGGATCTATAATACTCGCCGATGAGTGGAAAGGTACTAACTTTTTGTCATCCCTTGGATATATTCACCACAGAGTCAACCATTCTAATGATTTTGTGGATCCCATTACAGGGATACACACCAATTCTATAGAAGGCCTTTGGGAAGGTTAAAAAACAGGATTGGAGCCATTAATGGATCCTAGAAGGATGTCATTTATAGTCATTTATATGAATATATGCATAGGATGTGGTTTAACTTTTCTCCTGATACTTCTATGCTGAATTGGGGGATGTTTTATCACATGTAAGAGAAAGGTATTCTATTTAACAGTTTTACGTGGTTTTTATGCACTTTTTCATAAATATATGTATTCCACCTCCGAAAATCCTTCCTTCTTGTAACTGGTGCGTTCAAGGTTGTTCGCTGACTAGTAGTTAGTGGTGTTTAAAGTTTAACTTTGCCCAACCCTTATTATTTGTCTTTGTGCTCGTTTAATCTCTAATTTTAATGTTTCTCTTTGTAGCTGTGTGTAATTTGATAATGTGTTGTACTATGTGACTTTGTTTGAGCGAATGAAGGTCACCTCTGACCTTGGACTATCCACAGGAAGCGTCAGTGTGGGGCTCTTGTGGACAGAGTTTTTGATCCCACTTTTTGGGAATATTCTATTTCATTCTAGATGCTCGTTTTGTAAATAGACTGGACTATATAGCTGCTTAACTGCACTGTTGAGGTAATTTTGAGTTTTTGATGTTATTATTACTTAATATAACAGCAAACTATTGAAGAGTAATCGTCTTTTTCTTGTCTTGCGAGTGTCTCAAGGAAGTTTCGTCAGCTGTAACAGTAGGATGCAGAGATTGTTTTCCTGCGTTCAAACCACAACGAGTCGGTTTCGGTAGCTACTATGAGTATAACTGACCGCATAACAGCTGTCACATGAGTGTAGTCAGTATCTTTTATCCCGGTAGTATATAATTCAGAATGCAAATTAATAATGGGCTGAATGGTTTTGTAAACTGATATTTGCATTAGATAAATACATTTTTTCAAGTATTGGTTTTATAGGGATTTTGTTTGATTGGTTGGAGGATTTCATCATGAGCTGATATCAGTTATAGAACCATTGGAAAACCTGGGTTCGAACCCCGGTGAGTGTGTACTGATGATGATAGGTGTACACTACTCTCTGGTTGATTTTCCAATGGTTCTCTAACTGATGTCAGCTTATGATGAAATCCTCCAACCAATCAAATAAATTTTTAAAAAAGTGATTCTAGGTTATCTTTTTGATATAGTTATACTGAATATCAGTTGAAAGTAAATACCAATTAGAATATTGACATACTTACCCAAACTTCAGGAGTAGCCAAACAATCATACAGTTTGCATAATGAAATTATTGTGTTTGTTAAACTCATTGGAATTACAACATTACAATTCAATCTGATATGATCATATAGATTATTTATATATTTATTGAAGAAATTTCTTGTTTCATCAACTAATATTTTATCTGTCTTTTTAGATAGCCATGATTCAACATAAGGCCACCATCCTAAATCATTGACATCATTGTATACCATTCCACAACGTGATACAGTTGCAGGCGATGCAACTGATAAATCTTCCACTTCAAAAAGTAATGAGACCTATTACAAAAAAAAATGGAAAATTTAACGAAAATTATTACTAGTATTGGGATACTATCAAAGATAGTAAGTATATAAATGGGTTTCACGACATTAAACTAAAAACGGAAGCTAAAGTTGTGGTGAGAGCTGTCTGCTAACCAAGATTGAAAACAACAATTTACGTCAATGTTTACTTTTCTATAGTTTGGTTTGTAAGGATTAGTTATGTTTTACGAGTTGATCACGGACTGATATCACTGATGCTCTCTAGTGACTTGCTACAGGTTGGAGCTTCCTGCAGTTCTAGTGAGAAGTCGTGACCAGTGAGGTCCAATTAGAAGTCACGTGTGGATGGATTTCCACCAACGACAATAGTTGGGGTCGCGCTAAAATCACGAATTGGTAGAAGTTAGAATTCATGAGCCATTGAATCGGGTCCCAGTGGCTGAATGGTATACGAGCTCGCCTTGTAACCGGAAGGTCCTGGGTTCGAATCCCAGTGGGTGCGTACTGCCGATGATTCCCAAAGTAGGATGAAACAGCAGCTGTCCAGTACTCCTTGGTTTTCAATGGTTCTCTAACTGATATCAGTCCGTGATCAACTCGTCAATGTTTACGTCCCAAATTGGGGTTATAAGAAAAAACAAGAACTAAGCCTAACCTTGAGGAACTCAACAACCAATCACAGCAAACTTAACGTGTGTGAATAAGATTTGCAGATATATCGCTTGACTATCTAAGAAACGGCCACAAAAAGATGACAGAATAACCTTCAGCAAGAAAACAAGCAATCAGAAGACGTTGCTTCTCTGCTAACAATAACGAATACTAATGTACATGGAAATCTATAAATAACTGTTGATTTTCTCAATAAACGATCTGTTTCCTGGCCTTTGTCTTCTGTCGTTACATGGCGAGTCAGCTGATCACAAATTTGATCCCAACACAATAAAAAGAGTCACTAAAATGAAAATTTCTTAAGTTAGGCATTTAGCTTCATACTCGATGAAAAAGTCTATATATTAGTTTGGTGGTAATAACTGTCAGGTAGAGTGAATCCTTCTGCTCCTTGTTCTAGTGACACTGTTTGGTATTCATTCATGACAAGTTCAGTATAAAGCCGTTATTCTTCGTTTCACATTAATGCAGATCGGTAGAGAATATCCTGTTAAAGCTATTTCAATTTATTTATGTTTCCCTACTGGATTTTAGTATCAGTTACCTATCTGTCACGTATAATAGGTACCGTCATTTTAAATTCAAAAGGAATTATCAAACATAACGCCAAAATATTCAACGAAGTCATTTTTGAAGTTATTAAAACTAGTATAGAATGTATTTACTTGTTCAGGCATTGAAATTCTTTCTCCATTAATCAAAGTTAATATTTTATTATCGTCCATAACACTGTTCATACTTTCAATCCAAAGAGTATCTACTGGACCATCAAATATAATCCATTTTAATGACGATGATTCATCTACAGTGGAAAAAGAAATAACCGATGAAATGTTGGCTCTAAGTAACTTATAACATGAATATAAAAGTTAACAACGTGTATTAGTGATATACGAATAGTTAATATTAGGTTATTATCATTAACCAGTAGTGCTTGATGTCTAGATCAAGGTGATCTAAATACAAGACCGCCGCTTCTCTTGATTGTGGTTGATTCAAACAACCTTAATGCTTTGCGGCTACTTCAGTAAACTCATGCAACATGTTTCTTTGATCATCCTTGATGTCCAATTGAGCTGAAGAGAGTATGGTTCACTCAAGAGAGATGTCTATATAAAACATATTTTTGTAGGACAATATACACATTTCCTCAGTTTTGTACCAATCCGATACAAAATCAATTTGGTCAAATGTCTCACGAATACAGCAAGGTGGATCTATACAGATGACTCCCTAGAAAATGAGTTAGGATACATCCAAAATAAGCTGATCCAAATGGCTTATCCTAGTAGATTTGTAAGGAGACACATGAACACCAGGTACAATAAAGAGAAACTGACAACAGTTTAAAAAAACAACTGTTCCTGAAATAGCAATTTAGTGGCGACGTGGCTAGTGAAGTCCTACATATAAGACTATCAAGAGCAGTAAAACCGACTTATACTGCCGCCATCCTTTGTTTGTCATTTTCCAGCCGACCAAAGCGAAAGACAAGCTACATAGCTGTACCACTTTTATCTGTCGAGAAAGCTATACAGGGCGAATGAGCATCTTCCTTCATGGTTCGGAAAAGGTCAAATGAAATCTATTAGAAGTTATATTTTGACTCATTTCATTGATGATGGCGGTCACCAAGTGGACAGAAATAGTGCCATCAAAGTTATTTATCACATTCCATCGAGCCTGTCGAACGGAATTCGAAACCGCCTTTTACACAGTCGAAGATACGGGAATTAATTCGAGAGAACAATCCTACTCTTTGCATACAAAAGAAGTTTGTTCTACCTTTGTCTCTCCCTCCGCCTACGTAAATTCTAATCAAAACCCTTCCACCCTTTCTGGTCTTACATTTCCTTCGTACTTTTATGATATTTATTTAAACTCTGATTATCTGTCCACTTTACACTTAGTATTATGTAACTTTTAAGATTTGACCTAATTTAATTATTGAATTGTCTACATATACACATATTACTACCTTTGTTATTCTTATCGCCACTTGCATAAATCTTATTATCACTATTTTGTTATTACTGACGTTCAAAACACGTAACATATTATTATCATTATTTGACCCACAAAATCACCGTCATTGGTTAAATTCCCTTTATATCTGAGTCTATGTAAATTAGAGTAAAGCCTGAAGACGATCTTATTGAAAACAACAATATTGTTCGCTCATATGTCTTGTTTTAATATGAATAATGAGAATATTTAAACATTCATGTTAAAGCAAAAAGAAGAAAATTTACAGTATTTCGAGGCTTCTATTCAGATCTAAGCGGCTTGAAATATGCATAGGATTAATGAAATATGAATAAAACGTATTACTCTACTGAGCGGAAGTTGGGCGTGAAGATCGTAGTTTAGGAAAACAGCAATGAGTGAGGTGCAATGGCATAATTATTACAACTGACAGGGAAAGAATTTAGTCGTATATATAATAATTTTGGTAAATGGCTGACAACGAAATATTAATCAACCAGCAAAATATAGGAAAAATGTACAAGAAAGCATTTAGACCTGAAATCAATTAAGTGATTTAAGATCAGTGGGTCAGGAATTGATCGTGAAGATAAGAAGAAGAAGGAGATCTTTACTAGGTGAGCTACGACATCGATACGATTTTAATTCTACGTCACTTGTTTTACAACTGCCGCAGGAATATATAACTAAACAGCTATATGAGTGTTATCACTCTAGCTTATCATTCAGATATTATTGCATTCACTCAGAGATGGCCGAATTAGAATAAAAGTGTTCAATTCACTATTGATTTTAATATCTGATTAGCTGTAATGTCCTACTCTTCATTCGGTATAGAACTCCTGACTAGATGCTACTGATTTGAATCATTTTTACACAGGCCTTCTGAGATAACCTGTTCGTCATAGCAACTTTTCATCTATCAAGGCCAGTCCATAATATCTAACTAGCAATAGATCATCTTGAATAAGGAATAAATATTGGCCAATACCAAACTAATTTCAGATTTATATAGTCAAGGAAGATATAACTTCCCTTTATATGACTAGAATTCAGCTCATTTAATTGAACACACTGACTAGAGACTGTTGATTTAGTTTAGTAACACAAATCTACCTTAATGGTCAAGTACTCTTCGAGTTCAACTGCTGTGTACCAGTAGTTAGAAGAGCTGAGGTCAGTTGGTTTTCATGTCAAAAAAGTCATTCTGAAAAGAATAGCATTATTCGCAGTTGAGAATATCTATAGACAAATGATAGTCAATTGTAGTGAAACGATGAGATTTTACAAAATTGTCACACCTAACAAACACTATTTTTATTCTCCATTGTCTTATGTATTTCTACGCCATAGTGAAAATGCCTACTTCCTACTTTTACATGATGATAGACAAAATGTATGTTAAAATTGAACTGTAACTTGTTTTATTAAATGTTATAGGTTTCACGCGGCTGACGAGACCCAACAGAAAGAAGTAGTCACATATTATTCTGTTCAAATTCATAAAATCGAAACTCATGTATGCAGGTTACCATTTCGATTGGACGTTGTACATGCACTTCTATTTTTGAAAAATTATAGTTTTATTGTAGACAGTGTTTATACAGTGTACAGAATTTTCATCAGGAACTATTGCGTAACAGTTTCTCATTATCCAGGATCTTCACACGAAATAGCAACTGACAGCAGATCACTTGTCACAGTGCTGTGTGACATGAAGCGAAAACCAGCTCCTTATGATATTCCCTCTTTGTCTCATTCGAGAAATGCATGATATTTAGTAAGAAGTCGATTAAGAAAGGCGTGCAGGAGTACATTTATTGACCCAGGGACAAAATAAATGATAATAATAGCTGAATAGCTGAAGAATGAAGGTAATTAGATTTGTTTCCTAGGCAGTGGCAGTTTGTACTAAAAATCTTAGGGATGGTTATCTGATGTATTGGAGTACGTTACCACACACGATTTTGTTTGGTATGAACTTGCAGATCAGCAGGTGGAAAATATGTTAAATATTCGAGAGACTAAACAATACTATTAGAGGTCATATTTTAATCGATTAAAACAAAGTCAACAACAGAAATCGTATGCAATATGATGATGCAGTATTTTAGTAGACCAAGTTTCAAACAGGCCTTCTTTGATTTTTAAGAATCTCCACAAATTAACTGTTATCATCTTTTGCACTTAATAATCTTGCTCTATATACCGTGCATAAACATTCTCAGAAGTGATTCTTTTCGTCATAATTTCAACAACATTGAAATGGATTCGATAGATTCCTATTGATTTCATTCAACAACGAACATTTTTACATGTTTTTACCAATGTAAAATATGTATGTTTAGACTAGTAAATAATAATAAGTAATTTGGTGGAGGGTGACTAGCAGTGGAATCCAAGATGAACATTTCGTCCTATTTAGGACTCGTCAACCGGATACACCTGTATTCTCAGTCATCAATGATGTTCTTCCCACTGAGACTCGAACTGTTTGAAACGATGAGTACTGGGTTCGAGACACAGTGGAAAGACCATCACTGATATAAGTATAAAACTTGGGCACTGTGGTAGAGTATATCTGCATTATCAAAATAAAATCTTATCCATAGTGGACCATCACTGACAACTGGGAATGCAGGTGCGTCCAGTTGACGAATCACAAACAGGACGAAATAATGCATCCTGGATTCCACTGCTAGTCACTGTTCCCCAAATTACTTCAAGTTAATCCTAGCATATTGTACGTGTTAGTAGCCGATATGTCAATAGACGCCGAACACATTTTTTTATTCCTTTACGTTCCCAGTGGAACATAGGACTTCAAGCTAGAGCTTGAAAGTTTCAGTAGTATTGCTGTTCATGGGATTGCTAGCCTCATGCCCAACCTTTCCTCTTTACCAGTCTTATTACTGGCTTAGTGAAGTAAAGGAGTGCGTCGGTGGCAGGAGGTCGAGTCCCGGACCACATGAGGCGTGGTTGGCGAGCATTCTACCGCTGTGCCACTGAACACTTAGGTTCAATCAATCAACAGGAAAATCAAAATTGAATTAAAAACAAAAATAATCAATAATTATTTTAAGTATATGAATGTATAACTTAGCTAACCTGAACACGTTTGACGCATAATACTTGAAAGTACACCATCAGTCCATTCATTAGTTGATAAATCAAATTCACCATATAATTCGCCTAAAGACAAAGCTTTAGGATTTAATGGATACTCAGTGACTCGTTCAAATTCAGAATTTGGTTCTTTAGCCAGTGAATTATGAACTGCTTTAAGTAAACGCCATGTTGTTGATTTGCCGGATAAAGTTTTACCAACAATCATAACTGAATGTCTTGAGCTTTTAGTTTCATAAAGTTGTACAACTTTTTCCAATGTAAAAGGTGTCATCTGCAGACTGAGTTTATTGCATTCTTCTTGTAAAGCATTTTTAATCTATAATAATAAAAAAACATCACAAGTGTTTAACTGTATTCTACCATATTTATGTACAAGGTAGGTAAGAGCCATGCAGAAATGGTCTACGAGCTCGCCTTGTAACCAGAAGGTCCTGGGTTCGAGCCCCGGTGGGTGCGTACTGATTAAGAGTTCCAAACTAGGCTGATGAAACAGCTGTCTGGCAGTACTCCCAGTTGGTTTTCCAATGGCTCTCTAACTGATGTCAGCTCATGATGAAATCCTCTAACCAATGAAACAAAATCCCTACAATACCAATACTCAAAATATTTTGTTTACATTTCTACTGAGAATACAAGGACAATTCATCACATTGCATATCCCTTGAATGAATTAATCAGCAACCCTGTCATAGCAAAGTATTTTTCGCGATTTGCATGTTTATGTGGTAACCAATATGAGGAAGGCATCACAATTTCGTTTTCATAGGGTGTTCATGAATTATTACGTAAGTTCCTAATTAAGTTTACACCATTTTACCTCAACACCATATTTTACTTTGTGATATTGATATAGTTGGGTAGGTATGATGGAGAAGATTTGTAGCTCAGGTGGATGATTTTGATGTAGTTGTGTTCTTTGAGCTGGATGGTTTATTTACTTCAAATTGAAGTATGCGCTGAAGATGTTGCCTAGTAGGGCAATGAAAGCTTCGCAAATAAACCATCCAGTTCAGAGAACACAACTACATCAATATATATGAGTAGTTGAATCAATGTATAATAGCACTATGGCAATACAAATATTTTTCAGGCATGCTCAACTTAATAAATATTAAGCTGCTTACTTCTCTCCGCTAACTTCGATGATAGATGCTCTTCTTAGTATTACTATTGTGGTGGTGTGACACAGACAATATGTGCCAACGGAATATTTTTCTCGCATATTCCCACTGCATAGGCAACAGAATACTATGTATATTTGAACATTCTATTTCTTGTCGTTTGATGTAAACCAAAATCACACACTCAGTGATTGGTTAACGAATATAAACTGTATGTATATAAACAGCGGTTTGATTAATGAAAAATATACTTTGGCTTCCGTGTCTCGCCTTCTGTTGTTACACTATGAGTGACTAATATTCAGTCAGTTTCAACGTATTTCTTTGCCTGTCATCTGGTAGGTTGTACCTCTCTTATTAAGTATCTGTTTATTTGCCTTATCATTCGGCTATGTGATTATGGCGATTGCTTCATCAGGTATCGGGGTTAGTTTACCTTATACTGACTTTTAATTTCTCATAGTTGCAGGGAGTTTTTTGAAATATTTATGTCTATAGTACAGCTTTTGAAATGAGGTCAAGTTGCTGTTGTTCTGAACTTCTCCTGTGTCTAGACACCACTGCCAGTCTTTCACAGATTATGATACTTTAACTGGCTGATGTACACTTGTGAAGGCACCTTTCCACCTGTTTGAAATATTTCATCGCTAAATACCTAATATGAAACTGAATATTATATTTGTGTGTAGAATGCACCTGCACTTGGATGACTTCTTGAGGGTATAATGTGATATTGGCTAATATGTTATTTAGTGATAGAAGACAGTATGAGTATGAATTTCGAAACAGCGTCCGTGAAAAGAAATCTGTGACATACTATTGGAGATGGTAGGTGATTTGATGTCACTTGAGTGTGGGGTGATGGTGTGTATTCCCTTCTTCTGTGACACCTGTCAAACTTCCCTATCCCTGTTAAAGAACTGTCAGCAAATCAAACTACCTTTAAGGCATTATTTAAAAACCGAAGTACTTCTCACATTTACTAGATCACTGTGGTCTTTGTTAAATAAACACACCTATATATGGAATTTTGGTAACAATTCTTATTTCCTATAGTTTGGTTTGTAAGGGTTAGTTATGTTTTTACGAGTTGATCACGGATTGATATCAGTCAGAGAACCACTGAAGTTAAAATTCATGAGCCATTGAATCGGGTCCCAGTGGCTGAATGGCATACGAGCTTGCCTTGTAACCAGAAGGTCCTGGGTTCGAACCCCAGTGGGTGCGTACTACCGATGATTCCCAAACTAGGATGAAACAGCAGCTGTCCAGTACTCCCAGGTTTTCCAGTGGTTCTCTAACTGATGTCGGCTCATGATGAAATCCTCCATGCAATCAAAAAAATCCCTACAAAACCAATACTTGAATATTAGTATTCCCTCGAGTTCCAAGTGGAACATAGGGTTACAGCAGCATATCTCCATTTTCTTCAGATCTCTGCAGTTGTTGGACCCACCCTTTCGTCTTTTCCCGTGGTTAGGATCGGCTAGCAAACAAACAATTTAGTAAACTCGATGAGGCTAAACCATATATATATATATATGGAGAGAGAGAGACTGTAGATCATGGCTATTCACTCACCTTTGAATAATCCATTGATGGTGATTCAATATTTGGGAATAAGTCAGTTATAATACCTTTGAATAATGGTAAATCAACTGCAGTTAACTTTGCTAAATTCATATCATTTAATGACAGTAGCAGTAATTCTTCATCTGACATATTCGGATTAGCTCGTTTCTTTTTACCAGCATAACGTAGGACAGAAACTAAAGCTCTCAGACCAAAATCGTAGTGATCTTGTTTACTTAATTGTTGAACTGTTAAACTATACAAAGTGAATACTTTCTTTGCTAAAATCTATGCACAGAATAAAGTTAGAAAGAAGAATGAAAATATTATTTATTATACATCATCATCAGATAACGCTTCATAACAAATACTCTTTTATTCTTCAATATTAAAAAATTATTTATGCGAAAAAGATGAGAACATTAAATATTAATTCAATTCTAGGTGATTCATTGAGATTTGCAGCAAACATTCGTGATAAGGCGTTTTTCTGATCAATTAACTGTCCTCCTATTATTAGAGTTAATCAAGAGAAAAACTGCATGATATACAAACATAGGGCTCCCCTGTGGTTAAGGCAAGTAGTAGCTCACGTTTAGCAACATATATCCAAAAGCGACTTATTATTATTATTGTATCCTTTAATTCCTAGAGGAACATAGGGCTTCAGCCGTGCGTCTCCATTGCGTTCGGTTCTCTGCTAGAGTCTTTACCTCGCTCCAAGTCTGCCCACATGCTTTCATCTCCTCTTCACATGACCTCCTCCAAGTCGCCCTTGCACTGACGACCAACTCGCTGCTTCCCTTTCGTGTTCCACTCGAGCGATGGCTTGTCTAGTGATGTCACTTGATGCATTGTTTCCTGAGAGTATGGCCAGCCAATCCATCTCCATTTCTTCCTGCCTATTTGTTTCACAATCAGTTCCTGCTGTGTTGGTTCGCTCATTGCCAAAGATCTCTGTTGCTGTTCTCTTCTGGTCAGCCATCTGATCTTGAGTGGTATAGAGCGAAGACAACTGTTAATGAAAGTCTGTAGTTTGTTTGAGATGCTCTTTATGACGCGCAGTGCAAGTCTCTGATCCGTATAGTAGCACTGACTTCACATTGTAGTTGAAAATCCGGATCTTATTTTTGATGCTGAGTGCTGTTGACCTCCACACAGACTTGAGAGTAGTGAAAGCTTGTCTTGCTTTTCTGATTCTTGCTTTGACATCCTCGTCAGTTCCGTTCGCCTGTAGTTAAAACGATGCTTCCCAGGTAGGTAGGTAGGTAAAAGAGGTTGTTTCTTTCAGGTTCTTTACATTTATGCTGATCGTTTTCTGTTGTTGTTTTTGTTGCTGTTGGTGGTGTTGTCCAGGAATCTTCATCACCTCTGTTTTCTCTATGTTCACCTGAACTTAGGGTATCCTTTTGGCGGTTATCGAAAACCTCCATCAATGTAGTTTGTTTAAATATATTAAGGAATGACCTCCAATAGTTTTGTTTAATCTGACAAGTATTTAAAACATTAAAAACCTGCTGATTCTTATGTTTCTATTAAACATGAGAAAAAGCATTATTCCCGATGGTAGCTTATCCCAAGGTATATGAGATGACCGTTTCTGAAGGGTGTCTTTGGCTCACAAAATGTACTCCTGCACTTTCGATAATTGGCATTCAACAAAATGTTATGTATTTCTCGAAGGAGAAAAAGAAGGGATAACATAATGGAGTGGTTTGTGCTTCAGGTCAGATAGAACTGTATCACACGATCTACTATCAGTCAATCAATCTTTCATTTGAAGATCCTGGAATAAAAAGAGAGAATGCCATGCAATAAATTGTGCTGAAAATTCTGTATATTGTGTAAACATTGTTCAGAATAAAGCTATTATTATTACTGAAGTAATTAACGATACTTCCAGTAAAACAAAAAGGGTTAGTAGTACGAGGTTATAAATTGACTGAAATATGTTTGACCAGTATCAAATGTTAAAGAAAATTCATTCAAAGAATCCATCAATTTATCGGCGTAAGCTATAATTGTTTAGATAAGATTGATTAGAAATTAGAAAGAGGAAAACTACCCTATTTACAGTTATTTTCATGCAGTTGCAAATAATTTAATAGTGTATTGGTCCCTTTTTGTGGCAAGTAAAATTATTGATATTGTGAGGCTTAGGAAATCATATTCGCTTGAACTGTTATAATATTCATTTTATTACAATTTAGTTTTTAATGCAACCTTACTCTTATGCTACGTTCTGGATATTTTCAAGTGGTGAGTTGTAAGGAGCTTATTAATTTAAAGGTGAATGTCGTCTCCAACCGATAATAACTGTAAAATCATTGAAAATCAGGCAGCACTGGATATATGTTTCGTTCCTGTTCGGGACTCTTCATCAGTCCGCACCCATAACCCCGCCAACTAGAGATTGCCCCTAGGATCTCTGAGTTCAAAGGTGAACCCGTTGAACATACAATCAATGGGTCATGACTTCTGTTTCGTGAATTCCAACTTCTGTCAATTCATAATATCATTCCCGCCATCAGTCAATGGCATCGGAGAGTATCTGTAATTACACCCGATTTTTCAGACCATACGCGTTAGAACTCCAGGATGTTCACTCAGTACTCAGCCACTAACGAGCAAGAGACCAATTTCAAGGTGTTGATTTGTTGAAATTGAATTGATTTCAGCGTAGATTCCGTCATAAACTAACATCATTTAGAGAAGTATTGGCGAAGAGTTCCTAAATAGAATGAAACAATTATCCAAGCCCCTTTCTTATTAATGATCCTCTAACCGATGTTGGTCTGTGATAAAATCTGTAGATTAATTTTAGTTTTTCAGAGATGACAGTTTATTAATTAAAGTATACCACTGTACTGTTTCAATTTAAAATCTCATATTCAGTTTTTACGAGTTACTGTAATTGTAATACATATTATTATTATTCCCCTGGGTCCCGAGTGGAATATAGGGCTTCGACAACACATATCCACTTTCTTCTATTCTCTACTGCCCTCTTCAGATGGCTAGCTCCACGATCGCCCATAAACTCTCATCTCCTCCTCTCAGCACGATCTCCTCCATGTCACCCTCTCAGCAACGACCCACTCGTTGCTTCCTATTCGGATTCAACTCGAAAGTTGGTCTACATTGCGCGTGATGTCCTTCGACGGCCTGCTCAATGCATGCCAGATCCATCTTCATCCTACACATTTGTTGAGCATTTAGCTCTTGGCTGGTTTGTTACCAGTCAGAGTTTCTTGTTGCTAATTCTTTCTGGTCGGCTCATCATTTGATCTTCAATGAGTAGCCGGTGAAGTCAACTGTTGACAAGTCTTTAACTTGTTGGAAATGCTTTTCGTGACTGACACGCACTGCAAGTTTCTGAGGCGTATAGAAGAACTGACTGACTACACATCTGTATTGAAAATTTAAATCTTGTTTATGCTGGCTGAGTTGGTGCAGAAGATTTCCAAACTAAATTCAGGTTGGTGAAGGCGTATCTTGTCTTTCCGATTCTGGTTGACTGGATTTGACATCTTCATCTGTACCGCCGGCCTGTGGTTTGGAACCGTGCTTCCTAGACAAATAAGTGAAGGAAGTAACCTCTGTCAAATCTCTCCCGCTGATGGTGATTGGTGCTGGTTGTTTCTGCTGTTGGTTGAAACCGTGCTTCAATACAAATTAGATTCACACTTTTATAACAGTCTATGCTGATTTTAACCCTCTTTTGTTCAATGATTGATCCAATGAAAATTAAATTTACTTTACTTTAAAATTAACCTAGTAAAACAAATGGTAACTTATAATGTAAGTGTCATAAAAATTAAAATATATCATTTATTTTTCTTATTATTACCTTAGTCGAACCAAAACCTTCTGCGAATAGTGTAATTTCTGCAATCATTGATGAATCTGGTACAACCATTGCTATTGGTCTGAACATAGACTTTAGATTATCAGGTAATTCTGTTCGTCCAGCATAACCAGGATTCATTGTAATAAATATACCACATGACCAAACTAATTGAATCATTCGACCTTCAAACATAAATCTTGTCTTAGCATTCTGATTACCCGACTGTTCAGCTAATGCTAATGCTGACAGAATTGAAAGAATCTGTTGAGCAACTACTGACAATACTTCAATATTAATACTATTAAAATATAATTTTAAAAGAAAAGGAAGACAAGAATATAGCGATATTCAGTATTTTACTACAATTAACATACTTTAAAACGAACACACATAAAAAGAATTCAATCAAATAACGTGTCACACAAACAGATTTTAAATTTTATAAGTGATATAACAGAACACTGACTTACCGATTGAATTCATCGAAACATCCCCATGCACCAGTTTGAGCAAGACCAGCAAACATACGACCCATTGATTTATAATCTAAACCTTCAGAACAATTGACAACGATAACATAATCACCAAGTGCTTTTCCTAAGTCTTTTACTGTCTCTGTTTTACCAGTACCGGCGGGACCTTTAGGTGAACCACCTCTGTGTAGATGTAGAGCAGTTGTTAACGTAATGTAACAACGATCAGTAAGAGGAGTAATCACCAAACGTCCACTATTACCCAAATATTCATAACCATATCTAAAAGATGTATTTGTTTGTCGAACAAAACAGTCATCTGGTTCCTGTGAATAGAAAGAAGTAAATTATTAGGCATTAAAATCATCTTCAATGCACAGATAAAGTCAGTTGTGCATGTTATAGACAAATGCAGTTATTTGCTTTTGCGCAAACCACTGTAAGACTTAGTTAAGTTATTGAAATGGATATTAAGATCTTGAAAAAACACATCTTAGAATCCTATGATCACGAGAAAACAGAACAATTAACTATCGACAGTGTATCAACTAAAAGGAAATACCACTCTGTAATGTCCAACCCAATCATTGATGGAGTTCAAAACTATTAGAAGGTATATGGACTGCATCAGATATAATATGATCAGTAATTTGAGATTTTGTCTTCACATTAACAGTACGACTGGTTGGATATTATGTACTTCCAGGAAATATTTACCTTCATTTTCAGATTACTCGTAAACTACACATTCAGTGCGTTGGTGGCACAGCGGTAGAATGCTCGCCGACCATGTATATGGACCGGGGTTCGATCCCTGGCTGACCCACTCCTTTACCTCCCTGAGCCAGTAGTAAGACTGGGAAGGAGGGAAGGTTGGGCATGAGGCTAGCAACCCCATCCTGTAAAAATAAACAGCACTGCTACAGAAACTTCAAGCCTCTAGCTTGATGCCTTATGCTCCACTGGGAGCGTGAAGGAATAAAAAAACACATTTAGACACGTAATGACTTCTATTGCATGTGTTGGGTGTAAACTCGATGAACCAGGATTCTGTAATCAGTCTATTTCTCCACCCTATTATGTGGTTGTTTGCTGATGCATGCAGTGCAATCACTGAGCTTTTTTCTGAATTACTTATCTTCTCCGGGTCAACCATTCTTACCTTGGCTAAATTCTTATGTTCTGATAATCTGACTACCCCCGATCTACTAGTTTGACCTATATAGTTGACCTAACTCACAGTCATTGCAAAGTATTTTTTAAATTGTATTATTTTGTCTAATTGGGTCAACAGAGTCCTTTAGTCTACAAAACTTGTTTCTGAGTGAGTTTGTATGTTTGAATGCCACTCTAGTTCTTGCTTTATTAAGAATCCTACGTAGGGTCTCAGATGTCTCCTCCTTATACGGTAAAACTACTGTAGATGCCTTTTATTCTTTGTTATTTGTGTTATTATTAATAGCTGCACTATTATTTTTACTTTGCTTCTGACCTTTCTTGATCCTCCTAATGAATTCTATAAGATAGTTATTTATCTTTATATAAATTTGGACACGGAGTTCATGGATATATGAGTGAGGATAAAAACATAAATCACCTCATTGAGAAAATAAACCTGGCCTCATTTTGCAAAGATTTCGTAATGTAGAGTAGTTTCAGTAGTTTTTCAAGGATGATTTCACTGGAGAGAAAATTGCAACATGGTCTTATAACCTCTTTAATACGTATATCAACTTAAATAGAAGTTTAAGTATCACTTCAAAGTTATCGCTGCAAATGCTGTTATCCTTTTGTTTTTTTATAAGTATTTCGTAACATTTTGTAATTATATTAACACGTAATTTCCTCATTGAATAGTAACTACAGCTCGTAGGCAGGATCACAACAAAAGAACAAGGGCCGTAATAATGTAACAGCAGAACATGGTAGTATTTGATAGCGAAATTGTTTATTGGTAAATTGATGTACTGAAATAGCCAAAATACATATGCGGCATGTGCTACTGACAGAATTTATAAGTAATATAAACACGTAGGTATAAATGTACATATCGTCTGCAAGAATATTGATCAGTGGAGAGATGGATGTAATGGTGGAGAGAAGGAATAGACGATTCTTGTGAAACAACATAGAAAACATGAAACGAAGGCAAAAGAAGCACAATACTGAGGACATGTGCAAACTATGACTTTAATATAAGGTAGATCTATTTTTTTATATCTGTACATCTAGTTGGCTGATGATGAAGTGTGTAGTTCTCTTAGACAACCACCTGAATGAATGCTTCCGTTGATTATGAGGGATGATTGGAGAAGCCAATGATGACAACAATGATGACGACCGACCGACCGACCGACGACAACAATACCGGTTACTAATACCAGTGAATAGAAGTGGACTGATGACCACTGGTTTTATCCGTCGGTATTGTTGTCGTTGGCGTCTTCCAAGTTTTCTCATAATCATAATTGAATTCATTCAGCTGGATGTTTAACGGAAGAACGCAATGCTATTTCGTAACGGAATTCTTTATTGTCGACTCTATGTACAGATATAGACAAAATACATCTACCTCCGTATTGTCGCTCTTTTGTCTTCCTTTCATGTTTTCTGTGTTGTTTCACAAGAATCGATCAAAGCTTCTCTTCTCCGTTAAATCTATCCACCCCTCCACTAGTCACAATATTCTTCCAGATGATACGTACATTTATATCTACGCTTATATATTACTTACAAATCCTATCAGTAGCATACGCCACATCAGTAGTGGTGTAATAATAATAATAATCACTGTATTCCACAACAATAACAATCTACAGCATGGAATTTTCAGCGTTTCATTTTACATATTGCATTGGTTTGGCTCTTTTTATAATTATATAAATGTATGAAATGTTAAAAATATTGACAATTAATAGGAAAAAATAAAAACCCTAGCATAATCACACCATTTCTAGGTCATAGTGAATAATAAATAAATAATATAACAAATCACACATGCAATAATATGCATCATTACATTTTATAGTTTAGTTAATGATTTAAAAGTTGTAAAAGTTCTTTTCTGATATTCGTCTCCTCACACAATACTCGTGCCAAATATGGTACGGTCGAATTTTTATATTTTGTAGTACGAGCATAAATGTTTATGAAATTTCTTCTTGTCTTACCCGAAGAGATACAAGGAAACAAATGTGAATAAAGAGGATGTTCACTATCAGACAAAATAACTTTAGCTAACTGTTTACAAGAATTCATATGCCTATTGACAACAGTGTCGGTTAGTTGAGTCAAAGGGATAGCACTGACCCTACTTACAGCCCTCAATGTTCTTCGTAGTATTATATGGTCTTTTTTGAGTAGCCCAGGGAAGAATAATGGAGAACAATAAAGAATGATGGGCAAAACACATGAATTAATAAATTGTATGAGAAGAGATTGGGTTATACCTGAGTGCCTCAACTTCTTTATGTAATAAGTCAGACGGAAAACTTTCTTAGAAACTATAAGAATATGAGACGACCAGCAAAGGTTTGAAGAGAAGCTAATGCCAAGATAAGAAACACTTGACTTACTCTCTATCATGGTGCCATCAATATTACAACAATCATGAGATTGGATCAATCCATGCATGTCTTTTTCACTTCTCAAGCTGAAATCAACAGTATTACATTTAGTTGGATTTAGTTTAAGACCATTTGAGCTAGACCAATCCTTAACTTCAGCTAAGAAGCCATTCATATGGGAACAATTCAATGTGGAAACTACAGGGACAGAAACGGTCAGATCGTCAGCATACTTAATGAAGTTAACTTTGGGTGAGTTCGGAAGGTCATGCAAAAAGAAAGAGAAAAGAAATGGAGAAAGTACTGCTCCTTGAGGCACACCACTTTCAGTTAGCTGAGAAGTGGAGCGCTTTCCAGCCAAAACAGTATGCTGTTTCCTATCCTTAAAATAAGAAGACAGCCATCTAGTTGCCCAGGACTCTGTCTGTGCTGAAATCATCTTTCTTAATAAAAGTGTCCTAGGAACAGAGTCGAAAGCTGCAGTATAGTCTAAAAAAGCTGTTCGAACGAACTTAGCACCCTTATCAAGGCAGGAAACAATATTGTGGTGTAGTACAATGGCTGCATCTAATGTACTTCTTCCACACTTATAAGCAAACTGCTTAGGGTCACTAAAAGCTTTTAAAGAAGGTTTAAGAGTATTCAAAAGAAGTTTCTCCATAGTTTTCAAAAAAGGAGATGTTATAGCGACCGGTCTAAACTTTATACCTGCTCCAGAAGATGATTTCTTTACAGGTACAACCTTGATTTCTTTCCAGTCAGCAGGTACCGTTTCCTTGTTGAATGATGCATTAAAGATTTGAGTAAGAGGATGACACAAGATGTCTGCACACTTTTGAAGAAGAATGTCTGGTACACCATCTGGACCAAGGCTGTGTGTTGGATTTAAAGATTTCAAACATAATAGTACATCCTCTTCTTTAAAACCCGGAAAATGACTATTATCTTGACTAGGTACATCAGGTACAGGCATATTAATTTGTTTCATGATAAATGATTTGTTTAAAGCATTAACATCAGAATAAGCATCAACAGACATTTGTTTTTTACTTGTAAGTTTATTGAAAAGTTTCCAAATGTTTGAAGGATTTTTACATGATAAAAATTTTTCATTATATAGTCTGTTCAATCTTTCTATTTCAATTTTTATAAGGGTGTTTATTTTACGGACACCAGTATTATCACAATTCTTATACAACTTCTCTTTTTGTCTTCTAAGTTTTTTCAGCTGCAAAGAAGAGATTTTGTCAAATCTCGAAAACAGTGTTTCATATGGACAGCAAATATCCAAACAAAACTTTAGATAATCGGTTATATTAGAGACAGTAGCATCCAACTTATCGTCAGTAAATAGTTCCCAGTTGGTATCATACAACATGCTTCTTAGTGCTAGAATGTTGTCATGGGAATATGAACGTTCATGTATCTTCTTTGTTAAATGACTAAACAATTTTTGTTGTAACTTGCCGTACACTTTCGGTAAAATACGAATAATGCAATGGTCAGAGTTTAACAAAGGAGCTCTCCTTCGGGTTTCATACACATCACGGTCGTTTATGAAAACCAGGTCTAGTGATTTGTCCAGACGTGTATTAAACTTGACTGGATTCTCATGACCAAGTGAAGTAAGAAAGCTGTGATCACATGAATTAAAATCACCACAGACTATAGACAGCGAGTTTCCGAATGCAGGAGCAGCGAATTCAGTAAATTCATCTGCAAGCGTAACTATATTTGAAAGGCTACAATTGGGTGTTATGTAGATATTTGTTATGTATATGTGAGAATATTTACTTAAGTGTTTTGGGCGACACCTGACGGTTATGCAGTCTATATTGTCACTAGAATAATTGAAGCAAACATGATTTGATGTAGACCAACTTGTGTTTATAGAAGTGGCTACCCCTCCTCCACATTTTTTCTTAGAACTTTTTCTATCTTGGCGAAAAACTTTATATCCATTTAATGAAACTAGATTACCATCATAATGTTGGTGCAGCCAAGTCTCTTGTATTGCTAAAACGCCAGCGTTTCGATAAACATTAGAATACATTAGGGATTGAAGATAATCCATTTTTTTGAACAGGGATCTACAATTAGTGCTAACGAGTTCAGGAACAGTCATTTGATTAATTTGTGTACGTTTCAGTGCACGCTGCCAGCCACAGTGATGCTTTTTTCTCTATTTTTGTGGATGACACAACGCAGTAGGTTGTAATGATTTTAAAAATGCGCGATTATAAATAATACGATTAGAACACATTATTGATAAATTAAAACAAAATTAAAAGAGCAAACCAAAGCAATTTTGCAAAATGTTGTAAGGTGGAATTTTTTGGTAGCCCTAAGTTCAAGCAGGCCGCCACTTGATGTACAAAATAACAAAATAACCGATATTCAGATACATAGACAGGCACAGTATTCATCAAGAAAACTAAAGTACACAGCATTAACTAAAGTGTAGTTGGATATTGTCAGCCAAATGAGAACATTCAACAGAATTAGAATAGTTAAACTGACAATCTTCATGAGCACCTGTATACTAGATTAGAAACCAAATAAACAAACACAAAGGACGCTTGTTTCACAAACAAATAAATTTAGGAAAGCAAGATTATTTACAAACCAGCACCCCTATCTTAACATGAGGAGCTTTTTAGTGTTTAACTAAACTAAAGTGTTGATCTGTAGTCAATCTCTAATTGAATATTCTTTTTATCTTTCATCATCTCTTTTTTTTGCTACATTCTTCTAACATGTATATTTCAAATCTTATGAATAATGTCCTCATATGTTTTATGTAATTTTTTAAAAATAATTTATGAATTTCATTCACATATATACCCCGATTTCAACATGATTTTAACTAACCTTATCCCAATAGAATCGAAGTTGACTCAACCAATCAAAAGCATTAACATCATTACAACCAGTTTTGTAGAGTTTTTCAATAATATCTCGTTGATGAACTTCAACAACAGTTAGAGCATTAATTTTTAAACGTTGAATTTTAGTTAAATTTGAACGTATTGCTTCTGAGAATTTCTCCAGAATATTCTTTTGTTTACGTTTCAGTGTTTTCAATGGCCTTTTATCTTGTCTATGTGATACCTTTAAATTATTAAACAGAAAAGACTTTTACAATAGAATCAGAGAATACACGCATACATAGCACAGGTAAAATGTGATACAGAAACCTTGTGATCATTATTACTATTATGACAATAGCAGCAATCCGATATAAGGGATTTGGGATGTTGGATGAATGTTTAGGAAATTAAAACAATTAGTCCCTTTGATAAATTTGAATAAGGCATTAAGAAGATAAATTTCACGAGATGATATCATTTCGTAGTTTCTTTACAACTGCTTTACAATAATAAAATAAAATAAAGTTCATGACTCAGTTATATAAAAAACAAAAGTACATACTAATGATCAATCATATTTAAATAGGTTAAGTAGTCCATGGTAGGGGAAGGTTGAAGTCCATTGCTTTTTTGTATCCACAGTTAAGGCTTTATGTGATTAACCCCAAAAAAGCTTCCATCACCTTCAATAACCAAACTTGAATTAGAGTTATGTGAAATAATTGTGAAACAGTCATTAATATTGATTTTGTGACCTGACATTAATAAGTGTTTTGCAATGGATGATGCTGGATTTCTATTCAAATTAATTGTATTTGGATTTTCTCTATGTTTCAGTAACCATTCTGGAACATGTTCTTTTCGGCGACATCGGAACATTCTGTCGGTTCTACCTATACAGATGTCACCGCAGCTGCAGGTGAACTTGTAGATACAGTTTGAAGTAGAGTCCACAGAATTTCGTTCTTTAATCGCAGGTACAGGAATCGAAAATTTTCGGCAAGTGAGAAAAAGAGATGTGCGGCGTAGAATGTACGTCTGATAGCTGACCAAAGTCTCCGAGCTGTCAACTGCATGATTTGATCACCCTTGAATGGTAGGTTAATAAAGATAGCTTTCTTTGGTACAGAAGCTGTCTTTTCTAGATGTGGTCTATCCTTACTGTGACAAGTGATGAAGTTCTCTGGATAACTATTTGCTAATAAAACTGAATGTGTATGTCGAAGCTCATTCATCACTGTGTCACTCGTGAATATTTTTCGGGCCCTTGAGAACAAACATTTCACTAGGGGAAGTTTGTACTGGATAGGAACAAAACTGGTGAAATGAAGATATTGTTCACTCCATGTCTGTTTACAAAAAATAGATCGCTGAATCGTTCCATCATCTCTCCTGGTCATTGAAATATCGAGGAAACCGAGTTTGTTATTCGATTCGAGTTCGGAAGTCACTCGGATATTTGGATGAATATGATTAAATAGGGTAATAAAGTTTTCAATAGATTTAATATTATTACCAATAATGAGTGCATCATCTACATAACTTTTATATAGCATAAATTCTCCAAGCATACCTTGCATTTGTTTCTCCAATTTCGACATGAATATATCTGCTAACAGGGGCCCAAGAGGGCTCCCCATAGCAACACCGTCGATTTGTTTGTATGCCTTTTCTTAGAAGGTGAATCTAATATTTTCTGTACACATTAAGATGATGTCTCTGGTGTAAGTGACAGGAATGGGTAAGTTTATCCCATTGCTTGTGATGTAATCGCAAATGAAATCAACAGTTTCATGAAGAGGAACATTGGTGAATAAAGATTCTATGTCGATTGAACACATAACCTTTTCCTTAATGTTCAAGGTATCTAGCATATCGGTCAGATCAAATGAACTTTTTACAGAATGATTTGATAATGAGTCTCTTACAGGCGTAATGACCTCTGTAATTCATTTTGCGATTTTATGGTATTGAGGATTCGACATGTCTAAGATGGGTCTCAGTGGGTTACCAGTTTTGTGGATCTTTTGAACGCCACACAGCCGGGGAGTATATGACCTAATAGCTTTAAGTTGTTTATAAAGTTTTTCACTTATTTAATTTTCTCATTGTTAACCATGTTAGTTGTAAAGCGGTTGTAAAGAAACTACGAAATGATATCATCTCGCGAAATTTGTCTTCTAAATGCCTTATTCGAATGTTTAGGAATCAGATTACAGGAATCGCAGTTAGACCTAATGCAAGTTATTAATAGAACTCAAGTCTGTTTATACTGAAGCTTCACAATGGATGCGATTATCAGGACTACAATCCAATAAAATGCCTTAGTTTCTCCTCAATAATCCATTAGAATTTACAAAAAGGAAAATGACATAGATGAAAAATCCTGTTATACTTCATATTATAAATGTTGGAGGGAATTCTTTGGTTTAGTGAGTAACACTTATGAAAGGATTTAAGATTTGGATTAATACATTATGATTCAGTTGATGATGATTGAGTAAAATTTAAGATATTTGCTCATAAAAAGTCAATATTCACTTTGTGTTGTCCTCACTAGTAAATAAAATAATGATTAACTTAACGTAGAAATTTGCTTGAAAGTTCAGCAGTTCAACTTGCCGTTGTTCGGCAAATTATGCACAAATGTAAATAATGAAATTACAATGGCAAAAGGTGTAAGTATATAGAGGTAGGTAGATTAATGACGTGATGTGAATATATCTACGCCACTGAGAAGTATTTTCAACTGTATCACCAGAGATCTTAAGAAAATGATTGTTAGTAATTTGAAAATCTCTGTTAAGTAGTCTCCATCTTCCAGTGTGTCTCAAAACAATAATCAAAGACTTAATGAGTCGGTATTATATGTCAGTCAGGTTACCCCTATCTTATTTTTCCAACCTAGCGTTTAAGAAGGAAAAATACCAGTAATCATTGATTGTATAGAGTATTAGAGTGAAGATTTCTGCTTACCTCATAGTAACCCAAGGTGCAGTGTCCTGTTAAAGTAGTAACAATGGTACTCATTTTGCTAAAACTGAAATTAAAAACTATTGCTTTCAAAGCTAGAGACATAATTAATTAACCTATCCATTTGAGCAAACCTCATTTAGTGGAACAGGTTATATCATCACACTACTAAAAAGACGGTTACAGTGAAGAAAATTTTCTTTTCGATGAAGTCCTTTTCTTCGCTGCAACCGTCTTCTTAATAATCCCTATGATCCAATTTGTATATTTCGTGATTATCACAATAGCAAAAAATGATAAATATAAAGAAGGAAGTTGTCGATTTGGGACCTAGGTTTGTTGGGTAACGAAGTCAGTTGCTATATCATACACATATAAGTATCAAGTAGAAGACTATATGACAGGCATAATTATCTTGAATAGACTGTCACTGTAAGCTGACGATTTCCAGTGTAAAAGGGTACTAAGATCCTTTCAAAAAAGCCAACCGACAGACTGTATTTAACATACCTGTTATTTCTGACAATGAAATGGACATATAAGAGGAATTAGTGGAATTTTTTGAAGGGCACGTTTAATCAAAGCAACCCAGATATTTAGATTTTTGGTAATAGACACGTTGCTAAGATACTCAAACACTTAGGATTATGATTGAACTACAGTCTGAACATATTTTACTCCAATTTATTTGAATAGTCTAGCAGCATGTCTCATACTGTCAGCTGATATTTATAGACTAATATAAATTCAACCTTACTAAGTTTGAAGTGAACCAGATTATGCTTTCTCGCCGTAAAAAGTAAGTTGTAAACTGTCTTGTCTGCCTCGTAAAGTTGACTGACAACTGTCGTATTTAGAGTGAAAGTAAAATGTGGAGTACAGACTTCCTCCTACTTAGTTTCTTTTATTTCCCCATCATTAATATTATTTATGAAACATTATTACTTACGAGTTGCAAGCGTCGGTGACACAGTGTTAGAATGCTCGACAACCATGCAGGTGGTCCGGGGTTCGATCTCCGGCCGACGCACTCCTATACCTCGGTAAGCCAGCAATAAGACTGTTGAAGAGGGAAGGTTGGGCGTGAGGCTAGTAATTCTATCCTGTAAAAATAAACATCACTGCTACTGAAACTTCAGACCTCTAGCCTGAAAGCCTATGTGCCACTGGGAACGTAATTTACAATTAAAAGCGCTCTCTGAGCTGGTTGGTTTAATCGCGAAGCTTTCGTCGTCCTTCCGGACAACATCTTCAGCGCCATATTTATCACGAAGTGATAAATATGGCGCTGAAGATGTTGTCCGGAAGGACGACGAAAGCTTCGCGATTAAACCAACCAGCTCAGAGACGCTTTTAATTGTAAATCATCCACCTGAGCTACAATCTTTCTATACTGGGAACGTAAATGATTAGAGAAAAACTACTTACCAGTTGTAAGGCTTTTGTAACATCAGATGTCCATTGAATTTGACTTGATGTAATACACAATTGTCCAGGCCATTCTTTAATAAATTTATCACGTTTATTAGCTGCTTTCTTTAAAGCGAATCTGCACTCTCTTAACATATCTCTCAACGTTTTATACATTTGATCTTCTACATCACACAGCCATGATTCTACAGGCCCGTCAAGACGAACTTTATTTTTAAACTGTACTTCTTCACCGTCCAATGAAAACATTGAAACAGCATCAAATAATGATATACTTGTCTGTATAAAAAAGCAATAAAACGCAGTGGGTAAGACATTACTCTAACATTTCTAATAAAACGCGTAATTGAAACAACTGAACGATTAAATCTGTTAGCAATTACATACCAAATATGCAGTTCCAACCTAACTGACGTAGAAATTTTTTTAATGAAAAAATAAGTTTCTATGACAAATTAAGGTTAATAGATGTTGCCTGATGTTGAAATTAAAATATAGGTCGTGTCAAGATGCGAACCAGTGGCCTCCGAATAACAATCCCAGCACTCTAGCAGCTGAGCCATCAGACCATCATTTTCCTCCAGTCATCACGGATACTGTTCATCTGTGATGTGAATGAGTGATATGTCGCCATTCACAGTAGCTACCCAGCTACTTCATCTATCAATCCTAATCAAACTGAATTAGAAAAAGAGGAACCGATTGTTCATTGATCGTGCAAATATTTAGAATTGTTGGTATTAGATGGTTGGAGGTAATCGGAAGGAAGCCTTAGACCTAGGTTTCGTGCTAGTTGGCACTCATCAGCAAGGCGTATCTGCAACCTTGAAAGAACTCATGTCCCTTCTGAGATTCAAACCCGCGTCACCCAGTGCTGCAGTCAGAGATGTTACCACTGAGCCATTCAGGCTCGTGATTGACCTCCTGTAGGACTGTATTACCTTGCTGATGAGTGCCAAATAGCACGAAACCTAGGTCTAAGGCTTCCTCCCGATTACCTCCAACCATCTAATACCAACAATTCACAGTGCACCGTGGTGGTGTGCCACCTGGTGCCATGGTGGTCACATTGCAAACTTGACTGATAGAATTCAGTCTGCACCAAAGATAGGACTGGACACACACACACACATTACACTAATTACTGACTAGTGTGCAATCAAGAATATTTAGAATAGCCTCAGGATGGAGGACAATTATTGATACAGTCAACTGTGTCATGACAATTTTAACAGCTGAGAAAGTATTTTAACTAGAAATATATGCGCTTTGGTGGAACAGTAAGCTGTGTTAAAATTATCAGGAACAAGTACTACTGAGAGACGCATGTAAATATTTTCCCTTCCAATAACCTGAAAATGATGACTGGAAACTCTGTTGACCCCCCTTTCTGACTGAAAGTGTATTTACACCAACGAAATGTATTCAATATTCCGCAAAACATTTATGTTGCTTTTCTTTTTATCATATAGTTTCATATATCTTATTTTAGTCTGTGACTTTTAAAGGTTAGTTACTATTTGTCTATTTTTTTATGCACCTCACCATCAAATTTTTAGATGGTTATATACAGTAATCATCTCAATAAAACAAAGATACCGTGTGAATTTTAAATTTTTAAGTCTTATTCTGACTGATAATGATTAGTAGTGGAGTCCAGAATGCTCCTTTCGCTTTATTTTATTTCGAACTCGTCAGCTAGATGTACCTGCTACTGTCAGTGAGTGATGATGTCCTCACTGAGACTCGAACTGTGCACCTATTATTTCAGACACTAAAGCGTTGTCTACAAGGCCACGAAGGCGACGACAGCCACCTCTTGTTAGGCTCTTGAAGTTTGAAATCTAAGATATAAGGACACTAATCCATGTGTTGTTAACAGAAATAAAGAAATAAAGAAATAAATAAACAACTGTATTCTAAAAGATTGATAATGCAATGGAAACGACTGGAATAGCCTGAGGCAAACAAACAAACAAACCAACGACAACAACAACAACTTTTAGAAAAACTGAAAACGAATAACAGTGTTTTTTTATATTTTTCAACTTATGCGTTAAACCAACCGGTGTATGCTTAATCTTAGTGACAGGTGTAGTAGGAGTAGTAGTAGTAGTAGTCATTGTACTAGTGGTAGCAGCAAAAGCAGTTGGTGGCTGAACACTTTGAACAGTTGGTACTACTTGTGAAACTGTTTGCTTAGATGCACTACTACTAGGTAGTGGGAGTATATGATCAACATCTGACTCAGCATGTTCTTCATTGATAACTTTTATTAAACCTGGTTCAGAATTAGTCTGATCATTTGATTTTGATTCATCATTTAATGCATCAGTTTTACCATCTAATAATAAATTATTCGCCTCTAAATTAACAGAATCATTGAATTCATTATCATTTTTATCTTCATTATTTATTGTTGTACTACTATGCATCTCTTCAATTTGTTCACCATTGATCAAATTCACATTTGATTCATTTAACATGGATGAATTTAAATTTGATGTTATGATGATGATTAGATGGAGCATCATTATGATTTCCAGGTGTATTATTAGCTGTAACAGGTTGACTGCCTGGAACAGGTGTTGCAATTGACTTTTTATGTCCACTATTAGCACCTCCTGTACCATCTGTAGAATTATGCCCATGTATCTCAATAATTGTTCGTCTTAATCTTGATTGAATAACATTGGCATGTCTTGAAGTGTCAGATTTAATAACAACCTACATTGAAAATAATTTTATCTTTTTTTAAAGCAACTCCATTTGTTCATTACACGTATGGTATAGTTTGATCATTAGTAATAATGAGAAAGTGATCGGGAAGCAAGGGAATTACGTTAGTATAGGAGCAGAACTTGAGCACTAATATACTATGACGTAATTCCATACTTTTTGTTTAGTAGGTGTAACACAGGGTGATTCAGTATTATTTACCGATAACGTTTCAGGCTTGTGCTAAATCTTGTATTTATACAATAAACCAGCATTTTCTTTTCTACTGCGATGAAATAAACAACTGCTAAGTAAACATATAACTTCTTCGAATGGCACCTATATTTCTGTAACTATAAATCTTTCAAATATGTCACTTTCAGTTCTTTTTCTATAGTTTGGTTTGTAAGGGCTAGTTTTGTTTTTACGAGTTGATTCATGAGCCATTGAATCGGGTCCCAGTGGCTGAATGGCATACGAGCTTGCCTTGTATGTAAATGGAAGGTCCTGGTTTCGAACCCTGACAGTGGGTGCGTACTGCCGATGATTCCCAAACTAGGATGAAACAGCTGTCCATTACTCCCTGGTGGTTTCAATGGTTCTCTTACTGATATCAATCCATGATCAACTCGTAAAAACTTTTAGTTCTTACCTAGAATTAATACAATGAATCGGTGATTTAGTGGTAGAATGCTCACCAACTGCGTAGGCAGTCCGAGTTCTATTCCAGGCCGATGCACTCTTAAACATTACTTGGCCGGCAGTAAGCCTAGTAAAGACGAGAAAGATTGGGCGCGAGGCTAGCGATCCCACTCCGTAAAAACACTACCTCTGATGGTGATGATAATAATAATACCAATGATGACGTGCATGTCAAACATGCACAGGATAATGACAACACCAACAATATGGAAAATAAGTCATCAGTAGTACTCCCATACAGAGAAGGAACCTCGGAAACCTTACGCAGAATTCTTAACAATGCAGGAATAAAAGTGGCATTCAAACCCACAAACTCAAATAGAAACAAGCTTTGTCGGTTAAAGGATTCAGTGGAGCCAATTAAACAAAACAGTTTAGCTTATCTAATACCCTGCCTGCAATGACTGTCAGGTCAAATACATAGGTCAAACTAGTAGAACAGGTGCAGTCAGACTAGCCGAGCATAAAAACCTAACGAAATCTAGATTAGTTGACTCTAATAAGATAAGAAATCTAGAGAATTGTTCAACTATAGGACTACATGCAATTACACACAACCATACAATAGGCTGGATGGAATAAGATGACAGTTTTAAAATCTAATGTCACCGAGTGGAGGGAGAGATTGATAACTGAGGCTTTATTTACCGAATCAACTGCAAACACGTGCAATAGGAATGATTCAACACCTGTCCCAGATAGATATCTGCAAAATCCTACTACTCCTACGAAGACTAATAAGAGAGAACAAAGAAAACTATAAGACTCAAGTTTCGAAGTTGTGTGATTATAATTGATGTGATTATGAACAATAATAATTTGTGTTCGAAACGTCATCCAGTAAATAATACTGTTTCACTGTATGATATATCTAATAAAGAAATTAATATGGAGTTATCATGTATAATTAGCAGCTAAGTAAAGACCTGAATATAGTGTAGTTCAAACTGTAGCATTTTGGATACGATTTATTCAGCTACGCTTGTTGAAGTTGTTCTATGACAATGGCTACTGAAGGAAGTGCGAGACATGGTCCGATTCACATGAGTCACAACAAAGGCTTCAAAAACATCAAATTTACTAATGAAGAGAAAAAACTATTTCAATGCAGACTTTGTCATGAAGTGACATCGGTTAGAGAATCATGAAAAATCAGGGGGACGATGGACAGGCGAGTCATCACTGTTTAGTACTCATAGCAGTGCCCTCCCACGACGCTACTAGAGATCGAAACCACCACATCCACGTAACGACTCCAGGCTTGTTAAAACAGAATTACAGAGCAGTATCAGGAATTAAACTGTTTAATGGTGTGTACCATCAAACTAGGTGACAAACTTGTTAGAACTATTAGAAGGTGTGAAGGTCGTGATCTCAAAAAGGTATGCATAATTGAATTTTTGCACTACTTTTCAGGCATTGACACTGAATACTTATTTTATTATATATTTTTAAATAGCTCTATTTTTAAGCTTAACTTCGATCTTTCATTTATTGACAGACTGCCTGTTATTCAAATATAACAGTACATTAGCTAAATTGTATTACTATACGTCTTTAGAAGTTACTTACATGACCAGTTAATTAATATATACAAAACTGGACGGAAGTAGTTCGTTCATATCATGTGTTGTGTTGTAAAACAGCTTCGCCTTTTATTATTATAATAGAGCTTGAGTTGGGGAAGAGTGACACATTAATTAGACAGAATACAAAATGATTACGGAGATAGTGAGTGTAAGAAGATTTGAGATTTAATATATATATATTGAGGTGTGTACTGCATTCATATTATCTGAATGTGTAGAGAACTAGGCACTCGTATGATTTCGAATTAAAAATATATGTTCAAACGATTTAATAAAATTCCCTTACAAGAAGTGTAAGTAATTTCAAGTAACACCAAAGATTTTCCCAAAAGAGTTACTCAAGAAATAAATGGCCCAATAGCATAGTATTTAACAAATCTTTTAAATGTTTTTTATAGATTATTAAATCTCAAAAGACTGATTACTGAAGAACAAATATACTTTTCGATAACTTCTTCATCAGCTTCTACAGTTGTATATCCACAATAATGAAAGAATTAGGGTTATTAACAACATTAATGTTTAAATAACATAGAGAAGACGGAGGTGATGAAGATAACCAACCAACAAACAACAACAAAACAACCAGCATCAATCACCATCAACGGGAGAGATCTGACAGAGGTTACTTCCTTCACCTATCTAGGAAGCATCGTTCCAGCTACAGGCGGAACGGATGAAGTTGTCAAAGCCAGCCAGCCAACCAGAATCAGAAAGGCAAGATACGCTTTCATCAACCTGAAATCAGTTTGAAAATCTTCTACACTAACTCAGCCAGCATAAAGAATAAGATTCGGATTTTCAACACAAATGTGAAGTTAGTCAGTCAGTTCTTCTATACGTGTCAGAAACTTGCAGTGCGTGTCATTCACGAAAAGCATTTCCAACAAGTTAAAGACTTTCATCAACAGCTGCCTCCTTCACTGGCTCTAAGTTGAAGATCAAATGGCCGGCCGGCCGGCCACTACTGGAAGTCTAGTGGCACTGCATAGTTCTTCACTTTAGGTTTATTATTATTATTGTTCCCTTGGGTTCCTAGTGGAACATAGGGCTTCAACTGCACGCCTCCACTTGCTTCTGTCTTGTGCTGTACTTTTCACTTGCGTCCATGTTATTCCATACTGTTTCAGCTCTTCTTCACACCGTCTCCTCCATGTCACCCTTGGACGTCCCACTCGCCGCTTCCCTTTCGGGTTCCACTCGAGCGTTGGTCTGACGCGCAATGTCACCCAGCGGCCTCCTCAGCGAGTGTCCAACCCACCTCCACTTTCTCCTGCATATTTGTTGGGCGATTGGTTCTTGTTTCGTTTGTCGGCATAGTTTCTTGTTGGTTCTTGTTCTTTCCGGCCATCTGACCTTCAGTATGGAGCGAAGACAGTTGTTGATAAAGGTCTGCAACCTGTTGGAAATATTCTTGGTGACCCGCCAAGTTTCTGATCCGTAAAGCAAAACTGACTTCACGTTTGTATTGAAAATCCGAATTTTGTTGTTGATGGTGAGTGACGAAGATTTCCAGAGGGTGGCAGAAAATAGAAGAAATTGGAGATGTGTTGTTGAAGCCCTATGTTCCACACGGAACCCAAGGGAAAAAATAATAATAATAACATCAAAACAATACCATCAACAGATTACAGTTCAATAGCATCTGTAAACGTGATAATCTGCATCAATATAACACCACACTGAATATCAGAAAAATTAGGGAAAATAATAATACACAATTCATGAATTAATAAGCTCCACAGAAGACCAGGGCAGTAATAGTGGCTAGACCTGTTTCTTCTGCGCACAGAGCACCGGCTGTTTCGTGGGAATCGCAATAGCCTCTGCTGTTTGGAGTATTCAGTTACCTGGATGCTTTTGGCAATTTATTTGGTACCCATACACCTATATATGCTATTGAACTGTAATCTATTGATATTATTGATTCGATATTATTTAAACACTAATGCTGTTAATAACCCTAATTCTTCCATTGTTATGGATATATAACTGTAGAAGCTGATGAAGAAGTTATCGAAAAGTATATTTGTTCTTCAGTAATCAGTCTTTTTTAATTTCTAACGGGCATTTTTGATCAATTATTAAACCTGTTAAATCATCTTCTCTAGTATTAGTTTGCTAAAATAAGTATTAATAATTTAAATTTAAAGATGGCACATTATAGTCACTTTTACTCAAGATACATTTCAGATATCATAGGTCCACACATCAGTCCTATACTGGAAGTGAACCATAGCAAGTCAGTATTTGACACAGAAAAACAAAATTTTGCATAAAACACACAAAGATCCATATAAGTAAACTTACATCCTTACAAGAAGCGGACGAAAGATCAGTCAAATAAGGATTAATGTTTACTTAATGGAGGATATGAATGAAGAACAAAATAATGGAAATACAAAAAAATGATTGTATTCATTTTT